AGGTAGAATTACAAATACTTGACTGAGTTCGTGAAATTCTGATGCCAATTCTTTAAGTCTTCATCATGAAAACATACTTCTTATCACTTTGGCTAATAACTGCACCATTGAGGAGCCAGGAACTTTTCCAAGCCTAGCCTTGATTACAGCCCATAGGTTTTCAATGTAGTTTGAATTTTAAACTCCAGTAAAGAAACTTTAGATACTTACAACAAAGAGTTTTTATATTTATCCAAGCTGTTTCTTGGACAAATTTCTTAGCATTTCATGGCTTGTAGCATGCTGTAATGTCATGATGCATTATTTCATCTCCATCTGGGAATTTATATAATTCCCAAATAATTATTCTTCTCTCTCTCTCTGTCTCTGTGTGTGTGTGTGTGTGTACACACACACACACATACACACACACACACACACACACACATGTAAATGTATGGATGTATATGTATGTATGCTTATATAAGGTTTATTTACATATATTTATATATACATATTTGCATATATAATAGATTTACATATATTATTAAAGATTATATATATGTTACAGTCCTTTATTCCCTCCATGGGGACAAGACTTCCAGACCCACTACATATTAAAAAATCCCCAAAACATGTTTTGATATGGTGAATGTTTTATAGTTTAATATGCCCAGTTCTGAGAAGTTGAACTAGATTTCCTCTGAAAACTATTTTCATAGAATCTTGAATAAAAAAGTGATTTTCTTTAGAAAAATTTCTCCATCTTTGGTAGTTTACTCCTATTATACTGCCATTGACAAGTGTTTTTGCTTTATCACTATGGCTAGTAGCTGATTATTTTACTAGTCTTCTCACTGTTCTTTCAACTTTAGAATGGTTTAGCCTCATCATAGAAGAATCAGTAATACCTACTCCAGATACTAGGACCTCTGACAGTTTTTACCTTTTTTTCTGAAGATTTATTCAGTTTGTTTTCAGCAATCACTTTTTGGTCTTTATTATTATTATTTCTTCTATTTGACTTCACTTTCCTTTATGCTTCAGTATAATTTATTTTGTCTGCTTATAGACTTTAGAAATATCTGAAATGCTTACCTTCCCACAATGTGAGGCTAGTGTACAGCCCTCTCTTACTCAAATCCAATTCACTTGCATGTCATGGCATCACCTCACCTCATTGCCCTTTGCAAGAAAGAGTCTATTCACCAAGTGGGCGTTGCCTCACTCAAAGTGAAAACTTGAAAATAACTTAGCTTAAAAAGGCCAAGGTCTCCCAGTGCATCCTGGGGGCCATTACCAGTCATCCTGATAACTATCTGGCCACTGGACCCAGATGGTTTTGGAGAAGAAAGTGAGGCTGGTGACTTTGCACAGCTTACCCTCACCCAAATCCAATTCAATTGCAAGTCATGTCATCATTTCCCTGATGTCATGGTCCTGTTCAAATACAAAGGACAAACCACACAAGCTGCTGCAGTCATTAAAGTGTGTTCTTTAAGAGCTACAACTTTTGCATAGTTTCCTTGGTGTAAGATCCATTCTTAAAAACCATGCAATGAAAAACACAGCAAAAGAAAGCATTGAAACCAATGTGTTGGACATGAAATCCAGCACTCAGTTGATAGAGAATTAAGTAAAAACAGATGATATTGTTTCATCTGTTCAAGGTCAGACTTCTGACTCAGCCTAGGGTCAGTATAAGTACATGCAACCATCATAAAATAAATCCATATGAAAATTATAGTCAGTTACATCTAATTTTCATAACATTATATTTTCATACCTGATGTCTTACCTGTTGCTATTTCCCAGAATGTATTAACTTTATAAAGAGACTTTTATTCCATTAAAAGTATGCCTTTACTCATATCCAGATCCTTTGAATTGAGAACTACTTGTAATAGACTTTGTATTCACATACATACATACTCACACACACATACACACACACTTTGAACGCAGAAAATGTTTTTCTTTATATTTCAGTTGTTTTTTACATGAACAAAATAAAAATTTATAAGTCTAGCTAGTAATTCATTAATGCATAATAACTTATTATAATTTGTAATAGAATATCCTAAAACATAGTGGAAGTACACATGCAAACACACACATATATACACACATACACACATATGTATATATATGCATATTATGTGAAAATATTATAAGAACACATTTTGCTAAAGTATATATATACAGTATAGTTATGTTTCACATTCTAATTTAGGAGTACAAATTATTTACTTTCTTTTTCTGTACTCACTTGTTTGGTAATGCCCCTTCTTTTCTCTTGCATTCACATTTCTTCAGTTTTCTACTTTTATTCAAGGTCATGATCTAAACAAACACATTAATTAGATATGTAAATGTGTAGTAAAAGTAGAATAATTAAATACACATAAAATAGACTATGCATTCCATTCATTCCCTTTTGGGCTAGAGTCCACCCCTTCTTTTCAATATCTTAGCCACAGCAGGAGAATGAGAGAGAACTAAATGGAGACTTATTGTCTTATAGCGAAACAAGGGTTGGATGCAGGAAGTTAATTCACAATTGGATTAGAAGGGACTATAGAAACTTTTTTGGTTCTCATGGCAAAAAAAAAAAAAACAACTACATTAAGTGAGCACGATCACAGGACTCTTACTCCAGAGTACTGAAATTCCACTCATCAGAATCCACAATCCCATGTCAGTGTCTACATGGGGCTCTGTTTTTGACAATCTGCCATTTTCATCCAAATTAAGTCTTTCTCTCTTAACCTATCTTTCAAATCTCTAAGCAATCTATTTCCAAACTAATTGGTACAGCTTCTTTTGTACTATAACCCTTCTTTTACACAGCTCTATAGCCAAATTGGAATGTTTGTTATTCCCGTAATGTGTTTTCTCCTGCCTCACTTGTGTATGATTAATTATATCTCTGTGATTTCAGATAGTTCAGAATAATATGCATTTCCAGTTGTGAGGTCAGAAGTCTTGGGTTTGAGTGCTGCTTGTGCTAATTCCTAGCCTGTAAGACCTTGCAGAAGTCCTTTCCCCTCTCCTGGCCTCTGTTTCTTCATCTGTAAAATGAGAGAGTTGGAAAAAATCATCTCAAGCCTATAATCTTATAATTCTATATGTGTAACCAGTACATTGTTCAAATGCTTTTACTTACCTCTTGGTTGTTACAATTTTAACAAAGGTTTTGGAAGGACAGCTTACCTCCCACCTTTTGGCTATTTTTGCCTCCTTATTAATCGTCATCTTTTACCTTCAAATCTTTTGGGATAATCACTAATTGACATCTCTTCCTTTAACGTGTCAGAACAAATCTCAGGAGGAAAACAGTAAAGAGAGCTATGTTAAGGGTCTAGAATGTCCCTTTTGTACAAATGCTAATTCAGAAAAGAAAAACACTGCATTTAGTTGAGTTTAGTGGTAAATTTAGGAAGAGATGGATTGAGAAAAAATAATTAGGACCAGGCAAGAACATGAAAGGAGTTTTTAAGATAGTTTTTTTCTACTATTGAAAAAGAAGTTTTCATTGATGTCTTGTTTCTTCCATCACCATAGTTATCCCCAGTATCCTTCCCCTGCCCTCTTCCAAAGTGCCAACCCATATAACAAATTGTATTTTTTTTTAAAGAAGAAACAAATATCAGCACAACTGACAGATACACTGAAAAATTCTGCAAACATGTGCAACGTCTGAACGCCGTGGACCTGCCACCTCCACAAATGGGCGAATCTGGGATGTCTTCTTCTGTCTCTTCATTTGAGCCATCTTGATCTTTGTAATTTTGTTATACTCACTTTCGATTATGTGTGTTATTTCCATTTCCATTGTCGTTAGTATTTATACAATTTTCTTGACTCTGCTTCCATTCTCCATTTATTCATATAGAGCTTTCCATGCTTCTCTGTATTTATCAAATTAATTATTTCTTTTAATACAGTAATATTCCATCATTCTAGTACAATTTGTTTAGTCATTCCCTAATTGATGGACACTTTTTTTTCCAATTTTTTGTTATCACAAAAATGTTACTATAAATATTTTGGTGTACACGGGCCTTTTTTTTTTCTCTTTTCTATAGCTTCCTTGGTTTATAAGCTCCATAGTGAAGAGCAGTTCAAAGGGATTGGGCATTGTAAGCACTTTATTTTCATAATTCCAAACTGCTTTCCAGAATGTATATACCATCTCACAGCTCCACCAAAAATACGTTAGAGTGCCTATAGTTTTCATACTTCCTCCAACTTTAAGCATTGCCATTTTTGTTATCTTTGCCAATTTATAGGCTATAATGCTTGTGTTGATTTGCATTTTTCTTATGGCTTTTTGGAGCATTCTTTCATGTGCTGCTGTTTTCTTTTTAAAGCTTATACTAAAATGGTCAAAGATTGGCTATGTTCTTCCCCCCCCCCTTTTGATTACTAATCAACTTTTTCTTTGGCACCTAGCTCAAGGCCTACCCACTAAGCTGCATCCATAATTCTCCAACAATAGAAGGCAAAGATCCTTCCCTACTCTCTTCACCTGTCCATACAACCTTACAATGTTTTCTGCTGCAGAGTCAAGCACAGCAGTGACTTATGAATTACCCATGTATCTTAGGAGAGATTTCCAAACCATGACTCCATATGTTCCCAGATAATAAGCCACAATACACACACAGATGCATACATCTATGGAGGAAGGGAAGGAAAATATCTACTCCTGCTACTGCTTCATTGCTGAACAAGATCCTTAAATCTTGCAAAGTGGATATTTTGATGGCACCACTAATTTTAGGGCCATTCACTGCAGAAACTGGAATGAAATCTCTGGGTTTGAGGAATTTAGAAATGAGAAAGATAATTGATTGATTTCTCCTTTCATTTTAATTTTTCTTTTATGATAACTGCCTCTCCAACTGAGCAGTTGTATAGTGCTGCAAGTGTCTGAACAGGGTAGGGTCAAAGGAAACGCTTACACAAATTAAATGTTGAAAGCAGATTTATTAAAGGACATTCTTTACAGGTGACTGGAGATGAGAGTGGAACAAGACAGATCACTTAATTGGCATTCAGATTGGGAGGAAGAGGTGGTATGGCAGTTCTCCAGTTTCTAGTGGTCTAGCAGCTTCGAAGATGGTTTCACAGCTTTTCCTTTTGCTATAGGAAAAATCCATTTTCTAATGTGTGTTCAAAATACTCTCTCATTTTGAGGGATTCCAGGATGGAAGCTGATGGATAGCAGGGTATTATGTGCCACTTCTAATTCCACATCTATTATTTGGGATCATTAAACATAGTAATTGCCTGGGTTGAAATGAGAGGATGGGATTAGAATGTTGTCTGATTTCCTCAAGGTGAGCAAATAAATGGGATATCTAGGACCTTATCTATAATGACTATGAGGAGATCTAGGCCCAGATGAACAGCTGTATTGAGTTAAATTACCCACCTTCTTAGCTGGATTTAGAGATAAAAGGAAAAGCAAGGAGCAATTAACATGGAATCTATGCCAATTGCCATAGGAAATGTCCAGAGACTGGATTTAGGTTATTCTTTCCATTGGGTAATCAAAGACCTTATAGCATTGCTTAAGTTTCTCATTACTCCTTCCATGCTACCATTTAGGAATTCTAAATAAAAATGTAGCCTCAGATTTCATAGGGGAAGAATACTGAATTTTAGTCTAATTTAAAAAAAATCCTACTAAGGACTTACTAATATAACTATATTAACATAAATGTGTTTTGCATGTACCTATTCTTTAGCAAGCAAAATTGCTTCATTTATGCTTTTTAGAGTGAGGAATACTAGCACTTTAAAATATAAGATTTTAAACAAGCAAAAATATAATCTTATACAAATAATAACCAGAACTATAAAAGTAGAGAGATCAGATATAATGGAAAAACTTGCAGCAGTTAAAAGTTTAATTGACACAGCTACACCACCATTTTAGAATGGATAAATCTAGATACCAACACTTTAAAAACATTCATGTGGTTCACGCAGGGGCAATAAGAGGCATAGTGGGTAGAGTGCCAGGCCTGGAGTCAGAGAAACTCATCTTCCTGAGTTCGAAACTGGCCTCCAATACTTACCAGCTATGTGACCCTGGTGAAGTCATTTAATCCTGTTGGCCTCACTTAGTGAGCTGGAGAAAGAAATGGCAAACCACTACAGTATCTTTGCCAAGAAAACTCCAGATGGAGTCACAAAGAGTTGGACACACCTGAAATGACTAAGCAACAAACAGTTCATGTAGATGAGGAATATGACTGACTTGGCCCTGTTCCTTTAAAATACTAGGATGTCATCTACTTCTTATTGTTTATATATTATAAGCTTTCAGTACCTAAGAGGCAATGGTAGGAGAATGGATAAAGGACCACCCTTAGAGTAAAAAGAAATGGATTAATCTCCTATCTCTGACACATACTGACCATGTGACTCCAGAGAAGTCACTTAACCAAGCAGTGCCCCAGGAACCTCCATAAACCTACAAGTAACCAATGAACCGCTCATGAATTCACAGGTCAGGAACAAAGGGGGAGATGGAAACTCACTGCGTAATAAATAATTGCTAATTGATTGATTTTCCTGAGACCCTAAGAAGTGATAATGGTCAGAGGTAAATGTATGATTGCCAGCACTGGCAGGGATGTTAGAGCCAGCCAGCCGATGTGGAAGTTTGTTAAGGTTTCAGTGCGATTCTTAGCATTTTGGAAATTGGCAAATACTCCAAACTGGAGTTCATCGATTGTTTTGCTGACTATCTAGACTTAAGAAAGTGAAAGAGAAAATGCTAACAATGTGGATAAAACTTAAAAGTGTCATACCTACAATTTTGGGAAAGTCACTTGTTAAACACTTATCAGAACACTACTGTTATCAGACCTCCTGTGACTATATTGTTTTTGTTGTTGTTCAGTCGTGTCTCACTCTTCCTGACCCCATTTGAGGTTTTCTTGGCAAATACAGGGGAATGGTTTGCCATTTTCTTCTCCAGCTCATTTTACAGGTGGGGAACTGAAGCCAACAGGGTTAAATGACTTGCCCAGGGTCACACAGCTAGTAGGTGTCCAAGGGTGGATTTGAATTCAAGAAGATGAGTCTTTTTGACTCTAGGCCTGGCACTCTGTCCACTGTGCCACTGAGGTGCCCCTATTTGAATAAGATAAATTAATTATTTCACGAATTAATGTAAAACTACCAAATATCCATTCTGTGCAGAGTACCATGTTAGGCACTAAAGAAGATAAATTTTAGACAAAGCATGAAATTTCTCTTGCAAATTGAAGGTCTTACAGGTAGAGGACAGAAACTTCTCTGGGTTTCTTTTCCTCATCTATAAAATGAAGTGGCTGGGTCACATGACACACATAATCCTTTTCATCCTAAAATCCTAAAACATAGGATACTGTGTTGGAAAGGTACAGAACAAGATCATACTTGAGGTCCAGGGGTGAAGAACATTGCTGGTGAGGGGATCAGAGAAGGATTTATGGAGGAGTTTGTATCGGAAAGCTTGTTTTAAAACCAGGTAGGAATTCATCAGGTGAAAATGGGGAAAGTGAACATTCTATGCATAAGGAGGTGGGATATAGAAATGAAATAATACATTCTAGTACTTAAGGGACAGAAAGAAGTGTAATTGAGACATCTCTCAGGATAATGTTGGAGAGTAATATGAAATAAAGTTGGAAAGAAAGATGGATTGAGATTGTGAGGGACCTTGAAGTGCAACATTTAAGGAGAAGGAAAAAGGAAGCTGTTAATCAGCATCAATCTCTTGTGGCTCTGGATTGCACCTAAATTAAATACAAACATCTTCACCTGGTCATTTGAAGGCCTATATTTTGTGACTCCCATGTACCTTCACATTCTTACGTCATATCACTCCCCTTCTCTAGCTTCAGACACTAGCTATGTGATCCTGGGCAAGTCACTTAATATCTGTTTTCAATTGTAAAATGGGGATCATAACAGCACTTACTTCACAAAGCTGTTGTGAGGATCAAATAAAATAATATTTATAAAGCACTTAGTGTAGTGCCTGGCAGGGGCCTAAGAAATGCTTGTTCCTTCTTTCACCTCCCTTTCTCATACTTTCTAGTCTAATCAAACTGTCGGTTTCTACTTGTTTGTCTCATATGGCATTATAAAAAAAATACAGATATACCTCTATACATGTTTATATAAATACATGCACACACATATATGTATGGGTATGAAATAAACATATCTGTACCTGATGGGGTTCAAAGTTGCTGGGAACCCTGAAAACTCAGGGTACAGGCTAGCATCTGCCTAGAATGAATTCACACACTCGCCAAACAGTCTTCTAGTTAAAATGGCAAGGTTTATTGTAACACCAATGGAAGTGGCAGGGTTCCTAGTGAACCTTCAACTTAATGGGGGTGAGACCATATGAAAAGGGACAGTGAAAGGATATAGATGGGATTAAGGAGTGGCCAAGTAGTCTGGGGTGGGCCAGGTGAAACAGTGAAAGGACTATCAGGTGAGCTAATTAGGTGATCTAGGTGGGCTGGGGTGGGCCAGTTGCCTTGGGCAGAGACTTCAGTGATCTGCTATGCTGAAATGTATGGAAAAATTCAGGCACTACTAGATTGCTTTCAAAGATGTGGGCTTTTCCTTTTAGGGGTCCAGGTCCCATTACCCCATCATATCTATATTTATATATTTGCTATATGTATGTATGTGTTTATCTATCTATGGTAGGGCATAAAGGTAAGGACCACAAGTTTTGCTCTGTTTTTGTTTTGTTTTGTTTTTCCCTAGTTCTCTAGCCACACATGTGACTGCTCTTGATTAAAAAAGAATAGTCATGATTGGGTATGGGCCCAAGCTGAGACCTTTGCCCGTTACCCCAAAAGAATTTGGGTCCCATTTGTTTGAGGGGGAATTGTAATGTTGCTGATACTAGATGCCCTAAAGTCCCCTGTCTTCTGTCTTTTGAGATCATTAAAAAAACATATTCTGGAGGGGAAGGAGAGGGGGGGGGGAGAGAGAGAGAGAGAGAGAGAGAGAGAGAGAGAGAGAGAGAGAGAGAGAGAGAGAGAGAGAGAGAGAGAGAGAGAGAGAGAGAGAGAGAGAGAGAGAGAAACTCAGGTGGTTGGAACAGGGCGCGGTGCTATACCTTCAAATGGGTACAACAGACATTTCTAATCATGTCCCTTAATTCTGTTTAAGACTACTTCTCATTGATATCATCTTGTGTCCATTCTTTGGGACATGAGGGCCCAGATTAACCCCAGGAACCATATGGGAGAGAGGGACCTTTCCTAATACAAGGTTGCAATTCTAACCTCCCAGCTGATTGCCAGAGAGTTTTCTCTAACTGGATGCACAATCAAGAATCATTCCTATATTTCATCACTATACTTTGAATGACATTATTACTACAAATATGGGGCCTTTTAAATCTGCCTAATTAAACTATAAAACTAAAGTAGTATGAATATATTCCTTCTCACCCCACCCTACTCTCTCTGTAGGACAAAAGCTTCCTCAGAAATAGACTGTTTTTCTTCCTGCTCTTTTTTTGGGGGGAGGGGGTAGTCTTTAAATCACAACACAGAGGTATTTTTAAATGTTTGCTTATCAATTAAATAAAAGTGTAACCTGAGGCACAAAACTCATTTGTGTGAGGCTCTCTTACTCGTGGTGTAAATTAATGTCCCCACCTGCTGGAGGGGTGAGCTGGAGTTGGCTAGAGTTGAACCAGAGGAAAGCTCCAGTCCCTTAAGTCCTTCAAGTCTTCAGCAACTTCAGCTTCCATAAAATGGGCAATACCTACTACCCTCACAGCAGGATGCAGAAGAGAAAAAAAAAAGACTCTAGGAAGAAGCTCATAGAAAAGGAGATAGTAATCCCCTACCATGTCCCTAGGTCGCCATGTTTCCCCTCAAGTAATATTTAGACTCTCTTTTAATTGAGCAGGGTTCTTTACTTCAAATAACAACTTTTACTCTGTGCTGTCTGGTATATATTCCCATATGTATATATATTTTTTATTTGTTTTGCTATATAATTGCATAAGTGGAGTCCTTTGCTACTTACTATGTATGTTTATTGTGGAAGTGGTATTTGGTGAAAAGCCAAACCTTGTATCAAGCTTGGGGGAGGGAGTCCTTTCCCTATTCATGAATAGGGATCAGGAGTTTGGCTTGAACATGAAAACCACATCCCCTAGACCAACCATGAGGCAGCTAGGTGGCTCAGTGGATAGAGTACTGGGCCTGGAGTCAAAAAGACCCAGTTCAAATGCAGCTTCCGAGGATTAC